GGGGCATTGGGTATATGAAGGGAGGTCTGGACACTAGGAAAAAAAGCAAAGGAAGTCAAGGCTGAGCTGGCCAAAGAGGCACCACAGTAGGGCTCAAGAAAAACTGTTGCATCTAAAGTCAAAGACCCAAGGGAAAATTCAAAGAAGAGGATAGGCATATAGAAAAAGGTGAGAATAATTCTGACTGAGAACTTTGACAACCAAAGCCAAAAGATGAGGACTAGAAGAGAGGAAGACTGAAGTTGAGAGGAATGGAAAAGGCATTTATGAGGGGTGTGTGACCAACTGAAAGTAAACCCAAAGAAAGACCTGGGGTGGAGAGACCTCTCAGTGGGTAGAATATGGTCCAGCCGAGAAAGAGGTGGTCCACCACAAGGCATATGACAAACAAAAGACAAACCTGATGTGTATGAGCTCATAAGAGTAGGTCTAATGCTAAGAAGCAAATGGTTCTAGAACAGGTGACCCCTTGATGGTTGATGTATGAAACAATCTTGGAAATGTCAGAGTGAATCGTGACTGATTGATCCAGCAGAAGAAGTAGGAAATGAGAACATAGCCAGCCAACAGTAAGAAGTTTGAGCACATTGATGTGGAGTGAACACTTGTCCTGCACCCAAAAGCCAGAAGTCATGTCGTTGTCCAGAGATGCATCTCAATCTGAGAATGAAGCATCAGTGAAGAGATAGAACTGATGTGATAGTTGGTAAGGAAATGCCAGAAATAATATTGTCCCAGTACAGCCACCATTACAATTCCTCAAGGAGAGGAGATGGGAAGTCCACTGAAGGAGGTGCATATGTGCACATCCCAAAGCAATGAGGGATTCAAGAGAAGCCAAAGTCCCCAAAAGTGACAAAACCTCTTGCACAGGATAATTACTCAAGTGCAAATCCTTATGACCGGGTACTCCATAGCTCAGAGGCAAAGAAGAGAAGGCTGTGCTTGGAAGAAACAAGGGATAAATAAAATGCCCAGATGAATCAAATACTTAGTGGACGTGAGAAAGGACTTGGATATTTTACAAGCCATCACAACTATGTAGCCTCCTGCAAAAGAAAGGATGTGTGAGAAGAGTATACCAACTAAGAATGAACCAATAGAAGCCTTCTGTCCAAGAAAAGGAATGGCAGCCCCAGGTCATGAAGATGGTGAGTGAAGGCCTTCACAATACAAATGAATACAGAAGGGGTTGACACTATGACAAAAGAAAAAGCAAGGAATTGGAAGACGTGAATCTGTTGAATGGAATGTAGAAAAGGTCTCTAGGATAGGGGAATAGGAACATGCAGGTAGACGTCCAACATATTGAACATAGCAAACTGCATACTGGGTGAAATAACCATAATGGAGTCTGAAGGAAAAGAAAAGGAAATGGGAAGAATAGTGAAGAGAAGTGGGGAGAGAGACCATGGAAGAGAAAATGAAAAATGTCTGTGAGCAGAAACAAATCAACTGTTGGCAAAGAGGAAGAGACATTTACTCACAGAGCCTGACATGACAGGATAGTCAATGACAAGAAAAGCAATGAACCAAATGTCGAGTACTGAGATAACGAGTAAAAGAGGAAAGCCTGGAACCTAGAATTGGAAGGATAGGGGTAGACTGATCCAGACAAGGAACAAGAGTTCAAGAACATGGTCAAGAAAAAAGAAAAACCTGGAAAGATAATGAGGAATGAAATCATGTAGCTTCAGTCCAGGTTTCCAGTGAGAAATGAACTCCACTGAAGACATCTAGATTCAGAAAGGGAGCCCAACGAAGACCATATACACAAGGAGAAGGAAGGTGTACAGGTAAAAGGAATGCAACTCGACCCAATGAGTCCCAACAGCAGGTGAATTAAGTAAGGAGGAGCAGAGTAAAAGAATTGGAACAGGCTTGGCTAGCAAATAGAAAAAAAAAACCTCTACAGAAAACCCCTCTGGAGCACAATGAAGTACCTCAAACAAAAGGTGGAAGGAGGAGAGGAAATACAGGAGAGAGGTGAGAAAAAGATGAAGACATGAAAAATGGGGAATCACAGAGCAAAACAGAAGGCAAAGGGCCCAATCCCCAAGCAAGTCAGATAGATGCCAAAGAAAGGGAATCTAGAAAGGAAAGGAAGAATGTCTACAAGTCAGGACAAAAAGAGTCACGAATGCAAGGGGAACATGGTATTTAGATGCGAATGAGAAGCTATTACAGAAACAGCATAAACCCTAATAACAAGCAAGAAGCAAAACAAAACAATTGGGTTTATGGAGTGAAGAACAAGCAATATAAAAGGACACAGGCAAAAGATGAGGAATGAAATCCAGAAAGAGATTGGAAGGTTAAGATCATTCCTCAAATGGTAAGGCAATACCCAAAACAAATCAACGGAAAAGAATGAAGTTATCACAAATGTATAAGGGGAGTTACTGTGCATGGAGGTTGAGTCACCCTCCTATTTGTGGAAGGCTATTGTCACATCATGACTTCACCATGCAACAGCGCAATTCACGTTAAACATGTGCATGTAGGTGTGAGTTAGCTCAAGGCCAGTGGCATGCAAATCTCTTAGACAGATGCACAAGGAGAAATTTTATTTCTGTGTTAAGAGGTGAGTTATCATCCCAAAAACATAGCTTTTAGAAAACTATAACTACAACACACCTGAAATCAAACGAGTATGTTGAAGACCAATAGCTTTACTATTTTGTTATGAAAATCAAATTGAATGTAAAAAAGCTTAAGTACCTGTAATAAAAAAAAAATCTCATTCTTTTTAGATACCTAAACACAAAAACTTGTGTCGAGTTTGTATGGTATTCCTGTAAGGTGTTACCTTTTATTTCCAATGAGCATTATAACCATATTGGAGTTTGAATGTTGGCGAGCATCCTCCAGCCATGTAGTTAGATGATTGAAAGTATCTCGCCTGAAAAACAAAACAAAACAGAATTACAGTTATTTACTTTATTTTGTTATCTAAAGATTATCTAACAACAAAATTAAGAAAAATATTTTTTTAATTGACCTTGAATTTTAACTACAGCACATGCATCTGTATCCACATCCTTGGCATTTTTAAAACTTTTCAAATTTATACTACATTTGTTTTTTAAAATTATCTTTATCTTATTTTGATAGATAAACTTTTCATCATAGGATTTGGTATCGATAAATGCATTTTGTTGGTGAGTGAAGCACAAAAACTGTACAAAAACTTTTTTTTTCTTTGTTCAAAAAGTTTGCTGAATAACATGCAAAAACTATTTGTCCCATTTGTACTATTTTAATGAGCAGCCTTGCTGTACAAATATAAATAAAGCACAGTGCATAAGCTCTATTTCATTTACCAAATGCAAACTTCACAAAACATTGTTTCAGACCTAATTCTGTCTGGGTAGACTATACAAGAGTCATCCTACCTACAAAATTTAAAGTAAAAATACAACCTACTTTACACTAACTACATTACATGCTAACAAAATGAAACAAGATCATCAGTCATTCCTTAATTTAACTCTTAACAAAACAGCAACATGCATATACACATTCAAAATTCAATAAAAATATTTTCTAAAAGAACTTTTGTAATTTTAATTTAAAAATCATTAAATACATATAGATTAAATAAATAAATTAAATAATACATTAAATAATAAATTTAATACATTAAATAATAAATTTAATACATTAAATAAATATAGATCATTTTACTATTTTTGTAATTTCATGGACACCTAGAGCTAAACTGTTTTCTAATATTAAAGAGTACATTGTATGTAATCAATGTATAAACTGAGCTATGATCATGTTTGAAGAAATGCACACAAAATTTCTACCTCATACTTAGAAGTGATTTGTAACTATGACTTCAATTATAAAACTTTCCCACACATTTTTGCTTTCTATCTTAAGTTACATCCAAAACAAAAACAGTCTGGTAATGCTGTGATAATTCAGTCTTAAATCATGGATTTTAACTATCTTCCTGACTTATGATAGTCTTGAGAAAATATCTATTTTACATGTAAGTTTATTTTACAGGGATTTTTAGATATCAGTAAGTTTATTTAAAATCTGACCATAAAATCAGAAAAAAAAAGTTAACTTTAATGATGATGGTCAGAAACTACGGCATCCAAAGACAAACTAATCAATGAAAGTTCACTTTTCATTTTATTTTATATGCAACAATTGAGTGGCATATGTTATTTAGCACAAAGAAATATACTATCTTCATGATTAGTGAGAAGAAATATATTAATAATTATTTACCTTGATCTGAACACAATAAATATCTACAGCTCTAGGCTACATCATAATAGTTACTAGTAGAAATAATATAATTTGATCTTTATGTACTTAAAAAACTTTAATATATTTAATTACAAAGACCAAAACATTAATACATTTTTATAGCACTGTATGCCTCTTAACAATTTGTTGACTTCAAGATATTTTATTTGATTATCGATCACTCGTCTTCACGTGTTTTGACATAGATTGAGCAACCAGTGATTGCTCAAGTATTTGTTGGCACCAACTGTACATTCATCCTTTACACAAATGAAACAATCTACAATAATTAAATGATTTTTCTTCTATGTAATAATTTCAAAGTAAATAATATTTTACATACTTTTTAAATATGCCATTTATTTGCTTGATACTTTATTAAACAGAGTAAAAGTAACAGACCTGTTGAACTAAAACTGTCACATGTATATTTAAAAGATTTTAAAGACACAAAACTTTAAAACCTAAGTGTATGAGAAAAACATCTAAAAATATCCATAATACATTTCACATAAAATGAGCAATGTCTTATACACACGTGGGACACTTGCTCACAATCCATTTCAAATTCTAAGAACTTATAAGGAAACCAAAGAAAATATGTAACACACATTTAAACCACATTATATCTGCCATATCAAGTGCTGACAAGGACTTTTGTCAAATATCAGAGCTTATCAGGCTGGTTGAGAGATACAAACATATTAGTGGTCTAGGCATTATTTAAATCATCCACTACATGAACAACAACTGTTATGATACGAACTAGATTAAGTGAAATGTAAACATTGTACTTTTTAATAATCCATTTACAAATGAGAACTAGGTAAGGATTAATAAAACACTATTATTTAGTTTCTTTTTAATACTATTTATAATTTTTTTATAAATTTTACTATTATTATTACTACTTTAGGTTGAATTAACTTTAATATCATTCAGAAGTACAGGAAAACCATCAAATTAGTATTTTTGTTCCAAGAGTGTGTCACACATCCACAGTGAAAATGTTTTGTAGCATTTTGAGTTAAATTTTCTCTAATGCTCAGTACACTTAAAGCAAACAATTAAGTATGTTATAAATATGATTGGTTCACAACAGCTTATCTTTTTCATCTAGAAACAAACTTCTTTTGTTCTAACCTCGTAATGTCATACACTAGTAGTGCACCTGCTGCTCCCCTATAGTATGAGCGAGTGATGGATCGGAATGCTTCCTGACCAGCCTGAAAAGTTTCACAAGAGTACATTTTCAGCATTGTTTAATTAAGATGTTATTCAGAGTTCAGCGATATTTTTCTAAGATGAGAAAGTACTTAAATAATGTATAGTTTAAATGTTTAAGAAATTTCCTAATTGAGTCAACTGTTTTGTAAAGGAACTAGAATAGCTTTTCTTTTGTATAGAACAATAAAGTTTAACGTAAAGAAAAATATTTTCACAAATACTGAAAAACATCAAGTAAATAACCTTAAAAACTGAAATATCTGAAACAAAACATTCAACTTTTCAATGTTAAATTATACATTAAACACAAACCTTTTTAATTTGAAAGCTTAAAATTCTCATCAGGTATTACAAGCACTATTTGGCCACTATACACACATTCATTGGCCTGTACAAAAATTATTTATATATTTCCTACAAAGCCTGATCTTATTTTTGGAATTGCTCATGATGTTATACCTCTCACTTTTCGGGACTTAAGATGAGTTCACAGTAGTAGTCATTGAGCATTTCACAGCTGCCACACAAGTACTTGAGCTACCGACAAAAACTTACCTACATCTGTTCTTTAAATATACCACTTTTAACTTCTGTATGTTACAGCATGCAATATACTAAATTTAGACCCCAGTATAACAAACAAGGAGTCTCATTGTTTAAACTGTGCAATAAGTTAAATAATATAATTTATATTTTAGGTTTGCCAAGTTTAAAACAACAGACTTTACAATTATGAATACTGAGTTACAACTTTTTACAAAAATCAATCAAGATATTATGTTTACTGATAAACGATACCAGCTTTAACTACATGTGCATGGACTAATGCCATATCTGTGGAGCTTAACATAGTAATGTTTATTATAAACCTGAATTTCCTATATTTATCTTCATAAAATTTGGCAAGCTTTTAGTAAACTTTACAAGTCTGTTCCATGCAAAAATATTAGAATTTTTGATAAAGTATTTCTACCAAACATTTGTCAACAAAGTTCCAAAGTCTTTATTGAGTCAATCTGAGTGTAAGGTTAAGAACAAAAATACTTTTCATCTTACATTTTTCAATACTTTTTCCCTCCTCTTTTGAATGTATCATTTTTAGAGCTGTGAAACTTACACCAATTAGTGTTGCTAAATTAATCAATTAATGAAAAGTATGATTATTTCTGTTAATTTCATGTAAATAATTAACTTATCAAAATCAGAGTTACTGATCATAACTGTTTTTGATTATTCTAACAACCCAAGTTATCAAAGTAGTACCATTATGTTTGTTTATAAGCAAAAAGCTACATAATTGGAGAAGGGGAAAGGGCCTTGTAATTTGAGACTCTCATCTGATTCCCACTAAACTTGCTTGCCCTGTCATTAATTATGACTTGCCAAATTAACAGGGAAGGTAACTGGATGATAGCACCCACCAGTTGCTCTTTGGATATTTAAATAAATTCTGAATTTTCCTTTTTTTTATTATTTTTTTGGTCATTGTGTTTTGTCTTTAATTTATAATTGCATAACCTGTATACTTTAATGCTGTATAAGCAGGTGTCAATGTAAAGGATGGATCCAGGGGTTCCCCTGTTAATTTTTTTAGAAATCAATAACTGTATTATTTAATGTTGTAGGCACAGATTTAGGGAGTTTGAATCCTCTCCTCCATTTTTTTCAGAAATTATAAAAAAAAAAACAGCCAGAAGCCATTACATATAATATCCAAAAGAAAGATTAGATGTCAGTGTTTTCAGTTAATTAGGCTATTAATTACAATAAAAACCTTTTTTGAGTTTGTTTTTAAATCAACATAGTTGGAGCCTACAGCAATACACTTGAGGCCTCAGCCAATTACTGATTATTCCTAAGCTAATATAATAATTTCAATGTCAATTAAATGTTGCGATAGTAAATTTTCATGTCTTGACTTTTTTCAGAAACTAACAATGTGTCTAAACTTTAGACATTTGTATTAATCAAAATTAGTATTGTTTAGGACAATAATCAGTTTTTGTTGTTTAGAAGTTAGAAAGCTCTTGAGAAATGTAAACTTGATAAATTGGATAAACAGAGTACAATTTGATGAAAGTACAACGTTTCACCAGGTTAACCTGGCATCATCAGGTACGTCAACTACAATGAATGAATTGAAACTACAAATTTATATAATAATACAGCACAAGGGTACATTGAACTTTGATTGGGTAAATTTAACAGTAAGGTATGATATTTCTGGAGGGTTTTTATTGATAGGGCTTGACTTCTTGAGGGTCAATGTCCGTAATCAACAAAATAAGAGAATATAAGTACTCTTTCAAAAATATAAAAATGACAACAAAATTTATAAATTAAATACTGTAACTTGAAAATTGTAAATAGAGGTAAAGTGATTCACAGAAAATAATATAAAAAACCTTTTTGAACATCAACATAGTTAAGTTAAAGTTAGAATAGATACAACTGTGTGCCACAATACTTATTTATTTTAGGCATAAACTGTTCTATAAGCAAGGCTTCCTGAATTTTGTGGTGGTTTATATGTTTTTCTCTGCTAAGAATTTTAACATTATCAAGATGAAATGAATGACCACATTTAGACATATGTTCATGGACATGAGAAGGCGGTTTATAATGTTCTTTAACTCGGGTGGGTACTTGCCTGTAGGTTTCTCCAATGTAAGTTTCGTCGCAATTTTCACATTTTATCTGGTATACGGAACAGGATGTATCAGTATCTTTGTATTTTTTTGATAAAATTTGACCTAATTTCTGCCGGGAAGAAACACAAGTTGTACCGGTAAATTAATATAATATTTTTTCACAATTTTTTTCCAATACATTCTGATGCAATGTGAAACCTTTGGGATGAAGGGAATTATGCCATAAATGGGATGCTCCTCTGTAACTGACTTGTCGTGCGCTTCAGATGTTTTCTTTTCTAGCATTGAGATGACCTTGTTTACAGATTATAGAAGGAAATCGAAACTTAGGTAGCCCTAGAACTAAGTTACAAATCCTAATGATCAGCAGGAGATAGAACCCCTACACATTGGGTGGATAATAGTGGATCTGTGGTTAAAGTTACCACATGTCCAGAAATTCTCAGAACTGAGCCCCCACAGACCCTGAAAGTATATAATAATCACCAATGCCACTGGAAGCAATCTGGCCAAGCAGCAGAACCCTTGAATATAGACAGAATCTGTTCTGAGTACTAATGTACCGAGGGGCTGATGTCGGGGTTTGGGACCAACGAATAGGGGCAGAACTATGACCCCCTGTAGGAGGCATCGATATTTGAGAATCCAACAACAACAGAGAGAAATTAAGATGCCAAAAATTGAAATAATGTGCATGATAAGTGAAAGGAAAAACAAAATGTTGGATTTTAGATATAAAAGCCCATAGACTTACCCTGTCCCATTAGGGGACATTGATCTATTCAGGTTAACCACAAACTCTTTTAGCCTTAGAACTCAAAATTCAAGGAGCAGATGTATTACTTGAGAGTCGGAAAATGCTTCCACCTGGCAGTGGTAGGATAAGTCATGAAGTTCCGACAATGTGTCAGGTAAGGCATAACTGTCCCTTCATGTAACTGAGAAGAAAACCTTCCAG